ACACACACACACACACACACACACCTGCAGACTCGTAAATGAGAGTGAGATGATGCAGAGCGTTCAATAATAGCAGCAGCGACACTGACAGGGATTTCTGCAGTGTGATGCCCCCACCTCTCCTCCTCCTCCTCTGAGCTGCAGCCCCCCCCGGTGGCAGGGCTGGAAACTGCTGCGCTGACGTCACACTCGTGATGTCAGAGGACAAATAAACAGACAAAGATCCTTTGAACATCGCTCAGCTGAAGGAAAAAGAAAACTCTGTAAACACAGATCTGCAGCCGTTTGAAGCGTTCCAGGACATAAGAACACGACCTTTAACCTCCACAGGATCCACACCTGTAGATCTTCCAGGGTCCAGTAAACACACTTAAAGAAGAGACTGTTGCATCACACCAGGGTTCAAACCCAGACGTGTGCTGATGTTTAAATAATGAATCCTAAAGCAGACTGTCATGAAACTGTGCACAGGGTGGAGCACAGATAACCTCAGTGAGTGCAGCTCACATAGGTCAGGGCTGATTCTAGAGGTTTGAGTGGACGATGTCCTGTGAAACATCCACACTGACCCGTCAGCATTTCAGACGCCAGCAGCGTGTGATGCAGCTGCACACCTGGGGTTCAGAGGTGACTGTAAAACAGCTGTAACGCTTTATTTTTGTACTTTAACTCTTTGATCTGCTCATTTCCACATGTTTATTCTTGGGCCCTGCAGACTGGCTTTGCATGATTCACACTGTGTGCAGCCTTCAGTTCATCCACCTGAAACAAGCTGAGCTCCTCCCTCTTTAAACCAGCACAGCTCTGATTGGCTGCCCCTCGTTATGAGCAACTTAAACAACAGGTGGGTGGATGTTCCAACTCTGTGACATCATCGAGAGTCACGGACTCATCTGGAGCACACACACACACCACACACAGGCTTCACGTCTGACAACCATGACTTTAATTTGCCTTAAGGGCCCAAACACACACACAGACACACACACAGACACACACACGTGTTTGTGAAGGAGCCAGGACTCCCGAGGAGTGAAAGTGAGCTGAAAGCTCCACCCTGAACATCCATGTAGG